CTTCTCAGAGGTGTCTTCCAGATATAGCTGGTCTTTAGGTTTTGAGTCTCTAATGGCTCTGAGGCTATCTCATTTTCCTTATACCAGGAAGGACAACTGATTAGATCAATCACAATACCTTAGCCCAAGTGATACAATCAGCAACAGAATAACATCAAGTACCTTTTAGAAAATGATAATTTGTGGGGGTTATTAACCTATCACCTTTAACTGTGTGAATCAAATCAAGATCAAGATCCAATCCAATATATGTTTATAGTGAATAAACTCTTCAATATAGCAACTTTGTCCTTTGGGATGAGGAGTTAGGAGGAGTTGGGGAGGGAGGAATAGGTAGACAGAGGTATAGGGGAAGGTTATCAGTGAGGCCATAGGGCACAGGCAAGAGAAGGAGAGAGAAGAAAAGAAAAATAAAGAAGAAATATGAAGTAGGGGCAGAAGAGGTACACAAAGGGAGATGAAGAATGATGTCCGACAGCATGAGAGCAAGGGAGAGAGAAAGAGAAAGAAAAGAGAAAAAGAAAAATCTTAAAAGAGTAGAAAAAGAAGAGAAAAAATAAAAAATAAGAGCAAAAAGAATAGTGGTAATTTTGAAAATAACAAATAAAAGATAAAAAAGAAGGGCCTCCTTCAGGGTATATCTCTTCTGTCACAATAAACAATGTGGGCAGCAGTGTGCAGTTATAAGTCAATGCATCTCAGTAAGCCAGTCACAGATCCATGAGATTAAGGTAGATTTCTGGCTGCAAGTCCCAAGCTGAGCTCCCTGTCCTCCTGCAGGGTTAAATCCTGCAAGATTCTATTGCAGATTCCAGCTGTCTTTCCCCTGAAGATAGTACAGGTTCCGATGGGAGGTGATGATCCCTCCAGCTTACCAAGCACAGTGGTCTGGTGTGCCTTTATTTCAGAGATTCTCTTCATTTTTCCAGTGGGCTTCAGTTTTCATCAGGGAGCCTGAGAGAGGCCCTCTCTCTGTTGTTCACTTCTGCAGCTCAGGACAATGGCCTTTATGTTCCCCTGTGGAGCACCTATGCAGATGCCAGTTTTTTGGGCCCCAGTCTGAGTCAGAAACACTTGCTTTGTGCAGCAGAAATGCCTGGCTGGAATCCAGGATGCTGCTGGCCAAGTCAAAGCACCGTTACTCTGCACTACCCAGGGGTGCCTGACTCTATGCACGAAATCAAAGGTGAGCTGTATGCACCCGAGGAAGTGTTAGCTGTGTGCCCTGTCTCCAGATGGCATGCCAGTCTCCTCACTGTCATGGAAGCAGCCCTATATCTAGAGGGTAGCACTCAGCAGAGCTGTGGCAGAACTCACAGTGTGTGGCAATACGGAGCCCCAAGGGCAAGGCTGGGAGTGGTGGTGCTGGAGCCAGGTTAACAGCCTACTCCTTCCCCATCTCAGTGAGGGCTCATTATGTATTTTGTAGCCCCAGAACATGTCCTCTGGTCCCTTTCCCACAGGCAGCACTCCTGAGCCTCTTGCTATGATGGGGCGGTGGCTGGGGGGGGGGTGGTCCCCTGAGTTATGCTCAGCAAGTGCCAGCCATCAGCCTCTCACCATGGAGGACTGGCCCGCCCTACCAAGCTGCAGTAATGTCAATAGCCACCTCTCTCATGCGGGCTCTCAGACACAGGGACACAAGACCCTACAGGCCTAGCTGATGTCCATTTTTCAGACCATGAAGGCCGTAGTGGTTCTGAGCCCTCTTGGTCAATTCCAG